ACTGACTCAAAAGCAAAAACAAGAAAAGATTCTCAGTAACGCTACAAACTAAGATCCAAATATGCTTTTTGAAAGGAGCATGGTGTCATCAAACCTTCAACAAAAGTGTGTGATTTTAAGAGTTATCTTCAAGCTCTTTTATACCACTAGGTTAAAATTAAACTGGAAGCCCTCCCTGCTTCTTAGTATCAGACACTGAGCAGAAAACCAGCATCTGCTGTAGTTCTGCTCAAGGATATTTCAGAATGGCGTCATGTTCTCTCAAGAACCACAGCATACAAAAATCTACCAGAGTGTGCTCATTTAGTAAGAGCTCAAGTAACCACAACCCAACTAACCAGAACCAGGCTGCTGGAGTTCCAGAAGAAATAATTGGAGTTTTCTAAACCATATTTGTAGTCAATGTGTACAAGCTATACTAATAAACAGAAAAGATAGAAAGTTTGATTCAACGCCTTTGTATCTTAGGACAGAAAAAAAAAATTAACGTCAACCTTTAGGGACAGCTGGTATCTACCTTTTCAAGATAACATCCTATGCCCTTGTCATCTACTGACCAAGCAGTATAACTTGCTATTGCAAGACACTAAAGTCCTACCCCCTCATAGAACACGTTATCTTTAGTTTTCTCTTTAGATATAAAAGTGGCCCAATCTAGGACAGAGTTTTCATATCGCATCTCCTGAACAGCCTCTCTGATCTTAGAGCAAAAGTTTTAATCTTGACACCTCCCCCCTCCACACCCCACCAGTTGTCCCACCCTAGCAGTCACACCAAGTTCCATCACTTCTGTTGATGCATGCCTGAAATCCATTCGCTTGTCTCCAACACTACTGTCACTACTCAAATCTGAACGAGTGCCATCTTTTACCTGAGCCACAATGATCTATAATTGCTCTCTCCATCTCAATTCCAGCCTTTGTCCAAGCCATTCTTCACAATGTAGTATGAATAATTAATTGAATCTATATTGAATTGTATTAGTTCACATCTTTTAGAGCCAATAGTGAATTTTCTTTGGGTATAGGATATGACCTAAAATTCTTACCTCACCAAAAAGACCTCTGTGATCTGACCTGAGCCTATCCTCCTTAACCTCACTGCAAGTCCACCCTATTGTGCATAACTCTCCTGCCTCTCTGATTTTCTTCAACTCCTCGAACATGGTAAGGAGGAGCCCTTTCCCACCATCCCTGGGTCTTTACACTGGCTCCTCTCTCTGCTTGAACCACATTGTTCTTTCTCCTAAATTCAACCAAAGCCTTTTCCCTCAACCAGCTCCCTCCCTTTTGCTTCCTCAGAGAGGTCACCACTGATCTCCACAGTAAGCTAAGTACCCCTATTATTCTTATACTATCCTGTTCTTTTTCACTCCAGTGACCATCATACTGATGATCTCATGTTTAGCTATGTGGTGATTCAGTGTTAGTCTCTCCCATTTGGCCATTATTGTATGACGGTAGAAACCATGTCCTTTGTGTACAAATGCCCACTCTCTGCCCTGCCTGGTAAGAGTAAGTGCTTAAACAATGGTGAAACTCAAGAACTGAAAATATATTTTTAAGAGCAGAATATATTTAATGGGGGAAAGAAAGCTCCTGTCCAAGAGAAGGACAGAAGGGGGACCCAAGCGGTTTGCCCCACAACTGACAATATTTTAAAATTGAGTTCCACATTTATCGAACCAGAACTCATTACAATGCTCCAGGTTCAAATGAAGGTTTTACTGTAAAAGAAGCTCACAAAACTAAACACTGGAATTTTCCAATGGAAGCAGAAAGTAGATTAAGATAGAAATAAGCACCTGAAGCCACTTTTTTTTTGGGGGGGGATGGAACCAGGGCTGGAACTCACACCCTAGCACTTGCCAGGCAAGCACTTGTTCTATTGAGCCATCTCCCCAGCTCCAAAGCCACTTCTTGAGAATGTTTCTTCATAACAGGAGCCAGAAAGCACAGGCAACCTGCATTAGTTGTATGTATGATTTTGGGGCCACACGTCCAATGCAGAACAGTGACTGACATACCACAGATATTTCTTTATGGCACAAAGAAGGAGGGGAAAGAAAGAACCCCAGACTTCCCAGTTAGCTCACACATGGATCCTGCTGAAGATTTCTGGACCCCTTAACCAAATCTACTCTCTCGTAACACCTCAATTCAGCGGGCCAACCTCCTTCCCTATTTTTAGACAAATATTGAGAGATCTCATTTAATTTTTTACCTTCTTGGTAGAACCACTTCTGTTTGTTAGGATCCACAATTACATGTTAGCTTGCATGCATTTCTAGCTCTATCTGTAGTTCATGTATTTACAATTCCATCATTTATTGCTTAGTAGGTGGAGAACCACAGACTCCTACAACATAGAAAGTAACTGGGAAGATCACTTAGTCAAACTATCTCATCTGTAACTTAAAAAAATAAAACAAGGACCAAGGAGGGAATATAACTCAATGCACTAAAGTAAGAATGTCAGTTCCCTGGCTCCCCATCTAAAAACTGCCTGGTCATTATCTCTAAAAAATAAAATAAATCAAAGTTCTCTGAGACAGAAGCCACAACTATCACTTAACTGGCACATATTGAAGTGTGTGTTATAAGTATCTGGTGACTGAATAAGAATGATATAGTATATTGATTACCAAGAAGTCCTCCACATTAAACATTCTCTGCACCACCATAGTTATTATGATCAATGTTAATGGACATTTCCAAGGGAGTTGGCTAACAAAGCACTGTACACACTACAGCTCCTCTCATGCGTGAAGACTAACAGCCATAAGAGACAAAGGTTTGAATTCATGTCCCTGGGAGACTCCTAAAGAAGTTGTACAGGTTTGTCCACTGCTGCCAATCACTTCTGAAAATAGACCTTAGTGGAAAAGGTGCACAGTCAGCCTCAAAGTCAGGTTAACTGAGCCCACAACTATAGAGGACCACCTGGGCAACTCTCCTTGAAAGAGAACCAATTGTCTCCGTTTTGCCTGAGCCTGACCCTATTACCACGTATTGATATGTACAGAGCTGACTAGGACATTTCCTCGTCCCTTCAATTGGCTTTACGCAACACATATCAGTTCTAGCCAGCTGAGGGGCTGATAGTCTTTGAAGATGGCAGGAGTGTTTCTCCAGAACCCCTACCTGCTGCTTTCTAGCATGAGCCAGGTTGAGACCAGATAAAGAACCATGCTCCACATTATGGGATCAAGCCTCAAGGTAGAGGCTATGACTTCCTAGGGCTTGAAAGATTACATATCAGAGCTAAAGCATGGACCCCAAAACATCAGATATTATGTCAATTGTGTTATATAGATTATTCTTTCTGCATATCCTTCTCTCTGCATATCACAGAAGTAAACACAGGCCTCCTACCTAGCCCAGCTCATAGCACTCACCTACTTCCCATCTTCCTACCACTCACAGTCACTCATCCTCCAGCTAATTCTTTCTTCTTGAATCAATGAAGCCCAGGTTGGTCTTGGATTGAGGCTTTTGTTCTGGATGACCAGCATTATGGCTGGACTTAGGACCCCTTGGCTTCCCATAACTACAAATATGACTCAGTGTCCTCATTCTCACCCTGGGTTGCACTGGATGTGGCAGATTGGAATTAATAGGATTCCAATTCCAATAACTTATCATGGAATTACAAGTACAAACTTCCCAGAGTGATAGGAAGACCAGGAAGGGCTTTTCTATACACAGCCACCGCAGGCAGATCTGCTGTCACTCCAAAGAGATCATACCAAAGATAGGGGCTTTCATTCTACTGATGTTCCCCTCTGTACCTCATCCCTATGCGGCCAAGGAAAAGATGCTTTTCCATTCTTTAACTGTGATATTTAAGGTTTTCAATCCCTGCAGAAAACTTCTCATACATATCAACACCCTGACATTTTCAAGGAACTTTCATATATTCATTATCTTCTTTGACCTTCACAACCATCTTGAGGCTGAGCCCAAACTGAAAACCACTCAAGTTGAGAGACATTAAGTGATGTCCAAAGTCACCCAATTAGAGAGCTGCAAAGCAAGGCTTCAGGCTCCCAAATATTCTCAAAAACCACCATCTAATTTCTCATAGTCACAATGGTTTCCTATCTACCCATATCATATCAAATCCCAACTCCTCTCCCTGAATCATACAGACTTACCCACCAATTTCTCTAGCATGAATCTTCTACTCAACAAAGTTCCCCCATCTCCAGGCCTTTCTGTGGCCCCATACTTCCATTTCTGGAGTTCCTTCAAGTCCAATTGTTAAGACTACTACAGATCTTAGTAGCACACACCCTTGCATACTCCTCAGCACTCTGACCACTTATCTAACACTATCTGTTCCATGTAGAAAGGTTTGTGCTGCTGCTGCCCTAAGTCAAAACTGAGTGGCAAAGGACAGGAACTCTTCTGCTGAACCCTCAGATTGCCCCACCCTTACAGAGATCAATAGACCCATAACTTCTCCACAGATGAATACAACCAAGTTACAGTCTAGAGAATCATAATATGAACAACACTTACACAGTTGTGGATGGCATGGACAGGAACAAGCATGGTTCCCCTTACATTGAAAGGGCCATGTAGTAAATGCACAATGTGTCAAATAAGGACAAAGCATCAGGCAAGAATATCCAGTGTAAGCATGCAAGTAGAAACAACAATAAGGCCAATGAGGGGCACATCTATCTGCCTACCTTAAGGTCGATCCAGGTAACTGCTTCTCTGATAATTCTTCTTGAATGTTTTTTAATGCTTAATGCCAATTTGCAGAGGACACCACTAAGTAGCATGCTCTCTAAGTTACTGGTAACTGGACCTTAGCATAGACAGAGAGCTTAAAGATGGCATACCCCTGCTCCACAAGATGATGATGACAAACAGGTACTTTGACTTGTGGATTCTATGGGCCAGTCAATGTTTACTTGACTACTATCAGCAACATTCTCCAAAATAGACATTTTATTCTCCCTCAAAAGTAAGAACTAGGGAGGGCTCCGGCTATGGGTGTCGGTGCGGATGTTCAGTTATGAACTCAGGCTAGGTTTTCTCCAGTAGCAACAAGGCCGGCAAGCCTGTGTCCCGCGGGCTGGCCCTCCAGGTGACTTTCCCACGAGATGCTGCTCTCCATAGGGATGCTTATGCTTTCGGCTACACAAGTCTACACCATCTTGACTGTCCAGCTCTTTGCATTCTTAAACTTACTACCTGTAGGAGCTGATATTTTAGCGTATAATTTTGAAAATGCATCTCAGACATTTGATGATCTTCCAGCAAAATTTGGTTATAGACCTCCAGCTGAAGGTTTAAAGGGTTTTTTGATTAATTCAAAACCAGAGAATGCTTGTGAACCCATAATGCCTCCACCAGTAAAAGACAACTCATCTGCCACTTTCATCGTGTTAATTAGAAGACTTGATTGTAATTTTGATATAAAGGTTTTAAATGCACAGCAAGCTGGATACAAAGCAGCCATTGTTCACAATGTTGACTCTGAAGACCTCATTAGCATGGGATCCAACGACATTGATGTGTTAAAGAAAATTGACATTCCCTCTGTCTTCATTGGTGAATCATCAGCTAATTCCCTGAAAGATGAATTCACTTATGAAAAGGGAGGCCACATCATCTTAGTTCCAGAATTTAGTCTTCCTCTAGAATACTATCTAATCCCCTTCCTCATTATTGTGGGCATCTGTCTCATCCTGATAGTCATTTTTATGATCACAAAATTTGTCCAGGACAGACACAGAGCTAGAAGAAATAGACTTGGGAAAGATCAACTTAAGAAACTCCCTGTACATAAATTCAAGAAAGGAGATGAGTATGATGTATGTGCCATTTGTTTGGATGAATATGAAGATGGAGAAAAACTCAGAATCCTTCCCTGTTCCCATGCTTATCACTGCAAGTGTGTAGACCCCTGGCTAACTAAAACCAAGAAAACCTGTCCAGTCTGCAAGCAAAAAGTTGTTCCTTCTCAAGGTGATTCTGACTCTGACACAGACAGTAGTCAAAAAGAAAACGAAGTGTCAGAACACACCCCTCTGCATAGACCTTTGGCTTCTGTCAGTACCCAGTCGTTTGGGGCTTTGTCAGAGTCGCACTCACATCAGAACATGACAGAGTCTTCAGACATTGAGGATGATGACAACGAAGACACTGACAGCAGTGAGGGAGAGAACGAAGTGAATGAACACAGTGTGGTGGTCCAGCTGCAGCCTGGTGGTGAGCGGGACTGCAGCCTAGCGAACACCGTGTGACTTTCATAAGGTGATGGGTTTACTTCCCTTGAAAACATTGATTTAGGTACATAATTTGATTTTTTGCTCCTTTTAGAGACTTCTGTAGAAATAACTTATTTTTTAGT